TGAAATATATAAATATATAATTAATTAAATCATTAAATGTGTCATCAATTATTTAATATTGGAAATAAATCAACAAATATATAAATATATAAATTATTTAATTAATTAAATGCATGTGTTATTAAATAATTAAATAATTATTTAAATGTGTCATTAATTATTTAAAATTGGTAATAAATAAATAATTTATGAAACACATCATTAATTAATGAAATGTTTAATTAATTATTTAAAATGTTAATTCATTTAATGTAAAACCACATTTAATTATTTTACTATTTATTTAATTATTTCACTATTTACTTTATCATTTCATGGTCCCTACACCAGCAGTGCATCATGAAATCATTTCATCTGTCACTGCTGCTCGTCAAAGTTTCTAACATCTGATTGGTTACTCAGCAAAGCAAGTCATGACAGATCGATCCCAGATAATGGATTGAAGCAGTGAATGCACTCCGATACGTTAGGTGACAGTGTTCATCCGTATATTCGTTTCGGTACGCTCTTCATTTGTCGCCGAAAAAATAGTTGCTGATGATACAAGTGAAGACGGATCAATCAGCTCACCATTGGTGCAAAGTGTTAGTGCAGGATGTCCAAAAGCTCTCCGGAGCACAGGTACAGCAGATACCTGTCGCTACACCACGTACACCTGTTCAAGGTAGGTAAGGATAGCCAGATGTGCTTCTAAACGAAGCTAGCTAGTCGGCAGAATGGTGTTAGCATGTCAGCAGCCCTGAAGTTGGACTTTTATCACTTCTTTCTTTTTAGTTGTTGTTTGCTTTCTTTATTACATTTATCAGGACTTAAGGATGTTTTAGCTGAGTGGCGATCATGGGAGCTGTAACATTTTCTCTGTGTTGCAGCCGAAGTAGCAAGGCTGTTTGCTCCATACAACAACAACAACAACAACAACAACAACAACAACAACAACAACAACAAGGCTGATAAAGTTCCAAGCATTCAGCTTAAAGCAGACCTTCTTGCTTCAGGACTTGGAGAACAAAGGTGATCTTTTCAGGTGCGTCTGAAACAAGAACTTTGACAAAGCACTGAGTCCTGACATTAGTAGGAGTTGTATTTTTAATTTCATTTTATCGCCATTTGTGTTCACCTATTTTACATATTAGACTCAAACTTTAATGACGTGATTTTTGCTGTGTATTTGTTATCACAGCTTAGCTTTTGGTATTTGAGTTAATGTGCATTATGTATATTTACAGGAAATGACAACGATCCCATGGTTGTAACAAACAAACTGATGGAGGTGTTTCCAAAGCTGCAAGAAGGGGGAGGCTTTGAGTTTCTAAAAATTGCAGGATCTACTCGCAGTCGAAATCTTGGACTTCTTCAATGTCCAGCACAGGATACACCCTTACCTATCTAAAAGATCCATCTCCAACAATTGGACAGGCTACAATTGACATACGCCCACTTCAACAGGACCTACCCATTGATTCAGTATGGAAATTTACACTGTCACCATTTGATACATAGTTCAAATAAATTGCACTGTGGAGTTTTAATCAATACTTAACAGATTTGTTGTTCTTAGGAAAGCTCGGGACATGCCTCTGGTCCAGAAGGAGGTTCCCTTCTCTGAAATGAAACTGCACCGAGCTAACTGGGATGGCTATGCACTTGTTAAAGATATATAAGAATTACATATTCATTTTTCAATAAGAAATGTCTTTTTAGTTTTTGTGCACACAGATGAGAGGAAATGACTATAACATTTTCTGAACTTCAAGGACCCCCATGCAGGAAACACATAGAGAAGGAGAGGGAGACCGTGGTGAGGAGAATGATAGAGAGCCACCCACTGACAGGGACAGCGTTCCAGTGAGGCCTGAAACATCTGTAGAGAGTGAAGTAGAACCAGTAGTGATTGAAAGTGAGAAGATTGATCTTAAAGAACTTGACAATGCTTTGTGTCATCACAGTAGGAATGCTATAATATTGTGCATGATTAGAACTCAGTCAATAGAAGAATAACACCTTTTAACCATAATAAATAACGACTAGAAGACATGCCATTATCACTGCTGTTTTATAGAACCTTAGAAACACTTCCTCATACAGTTCACAGACTCCACATCTAAGTGAAGCTTGGTTGACTTCAAACAGCAAATAAGCATCATTCTGATGAAAGTCAAGTAGAAATGGACTTTCCTAGTATCTATTAAAAGGCTGTTGGATTCTGTCACATTTTTCAGGTGTTCCTCCTTTTCTGTTGATTGGGAGTTTATCTGCATTTAACATGCAAAGTAGTTACATTTATTTTTCTTCTTGTCTAGACTGGAAGATTATTAAAGAACCAACTCTGGCTGCCCAAGTTTTCAAAGATAATCTACTAAGTGAACATGCAACCGGGAAGCCTCTTAAACTGAAAATGGATGTAAGGGAGCGTGAGGAGGACAGGGAACGGGCACTTCTCTCATTCTATAAACAGCAACAGGAATGGGCATGTCCACTTCATTGTACCCTTGATGGTTAGTAGAATAGAGTTCATAATATAAATATATCCTGTTACATTAATATCAATTCTATGTCTTATATGGAATGGTATTAGTGGTTTACTGGTCCCATCAGGTCATTTGGCTGATATTAATCATTATATGATAATCTGCATTGGCTGTTCATGCTGTCTGCATAACAGTTCATGTGTTTGTCCTTCCTTCCTAAAACTTGTCAAGCACCTATAGCCTTGTTACAGCTTGTTTCTAGTGTGTTATTAACAGTATACAGTATTCTTTAAAAAAAAAAAGTTTTATAGGTGATGCTGCTGTTGGACAGGGAGTGATGCGGTACTTTCTGACAACAATAATATCCAAACTCCAGTTTGGATTCAGAATGAATCTTGGTAAATGTGCTACTATTCAGGTTAATGTCATGCATTTTAAAAGTTAATTGTTTGATTTGAAGCCCTGCTCTGTTGGTACTTACAGGAGGAGTGGGCCAAACTCTGCTATTTGAAGGTGAGCCTGACCATCTCGTTCCAGCTGCATCAGAGGTGCTTATTGAGAGCAACCTCTTCCGGGTTGCAGGAAGGATGATAGCCCACTCCTTTTTGCATGATGGCCCCCATGTCACCGGATTAAGTCCTGCTGTTATTCATGTACTGTTCAATGGGGACCCTGAAATGGCAACAATTGTTGTCGAGGACTGTCCTGATCTGCACATCAGGAGTATTATAACAATGGTATGTAACACACAAACAAAAAAACCTTTGCCTTGCAAAATTCCTGGACAGGTGTAATACCTTTTATGATCCAAACTGTAGCTTGAACTTGAAGAACTTACTCAGGAACAGAAGGACACAGTGTCAGATCTTTCCCTGTCTTGGGATCTCCCAGCAGTCACTAAAACGAATCAGAGGTGGCTACATAACAAACTTCTAGTACACGCGGTGAGTTTCTCCTGCTGATTTGGTGAATTCTCCTTCTGAAATTGAACTCATCCCCCATTTATCCATCAATTATGTTTCAAGCTAAGCAATTCTATCACGTCTGCATTTCTTTTGCACATCTGTATTTCAATCACAAACTAATTGGAACTGCAGGCAGGATTATTACAGAACCTAAACACTCTTTAACTTGTAATCTAGGCAGGGAGTGGTTTGGTGTTGCAATATGAAAGGATATAATTGGGGAAAAATACATCTTAACCCTGTAAAGCCTGACACATGAAAAAATAACCAGGAAATTCTATTCTTTTGGAATTGAGATGTTTATTAAACCCTTAAACAAAATCCCCAAAATGTTTTTCTCATATCATGTTGTTTATGATATTTTTTTGTAGCACATTTGATACATCGGGCGTTTTTGGCAATTTTTTGCACACATTTCAGGAAGCTTTTCTCGTTGTTTTTTTTAACATAACACTTTTTACAGCCTTTTTATTTCATTTTGTGGTAGGCACAAAAACAGTTTCTGTCCTTGTTCAGGCAAAGATGCACCTTACACTTTCACAGTAGACATGTGAGAAGTGTGATTGCATCTCTGTCGGGTTTCCCATGTTGGAAAATGATCAATGCCATCCCTTCTCACATCAAGAGGCACACTGCAGCTTGGTCTTTTACGGGGTGGTGTTGGAGTCTCTTCTGGAGAGGATAGTGGTCTGCCACACCTGATTTTGGCCTTTCCTGCCAACCAAAGCCTGAAACCTTCACAGAGGCACGGGTTTCTTCTTGGGGTTTAGCTTCTTCTGGTCTCTTCTGTAGAGGTTCCACGCATTGATGACTGCCACTGTAACAGTGTGCCACCAGATGTACATGTACCATCTTCGGGATCTGAAGCTGAACTTGTAAAGTGCAGACAGCATATCAAGGAGATCAACACCTCCCATGAACTTGTTATATGTTTCAACAATGGCTGGTCTGGGAACCGTTATGTGAGTTTTGGATTTGCGATCCCAGCGTTTCACATTTCCCACAGGTTCAGTGCCAACAAAAGAGGAAATCAGGTTCACTGCTTTGTTGTCGTACCATCTTACAACGATGTTGTTTTCCTGGTTCACTCTGAAGTCCATTGACCCTCTTCCATTTTCTTCAATTCTTTTTCATCCATCATGGTGCAGTGTTTCATCCTGTTCATCCGGATCGTGCCAACGTAGTGGATTCCTCTTTCTTTTAGGTGTTGCACCAGGGGAACTGATGTGAAGTAGTTGTCTGCAAAGACCTTGTGATTTTTTCCTGCTGGAAGTGTTGATGTCATTTTCAGCACAACTTCTCCTGTAACACCTACTTCAGACTTTTCTCTGTCTGGATTTTCTGCACCTTGACAAATATCAAAGTCATAAAGAAAGCCACTTTGTCCAGCACGTCCCCACATTTTGAAACCCCATTTGTGAGGTTTTGCAGGCATGTAGACACGTAGATGAGATTTTCCCTTAAATGGCACCATGATTTCATCAACTGCATGGCTTTCTTCAGGAGGTATGTAGAGAAACTGTTCTCGCAGTTTTTGTAACCATGGCCTGAGCTTCCACAGTTTATCTTTCTTTGCATCATCAGACACACTGAGGTTGTCCTGAAAGTGAATCACTGTCAGCAATTTCAGAAACCGATCTCGAGACATCACATGACAAACTGCAGGGAGCCTTGTCTCCATCTCCCAATAGGCTCTCACAGAGGACATCTGTACTAACCCCATATGAATGTACATGCCTAGAACCTGCTCTATTTCCTTGGCAGTTGTGTTTACTGACTTGCCCTCTTTTTGTACACTGTACAGGTTTGTTTGTTCTGCAGTTTCCTCTAGCATTTCATCAGTGACAAACTGTTTGAAATACATGTATGGTGTCCAGTCACACCTGTCTTCTGTGCCTTCCTCAACACTTGCAATGAAATTGATAGATGGAGCTTGATAATTTATTTTTCTCCATCTGTATTCTTTCCTTTGTGCATTGGCCTTCACTGACTCCTTTCTGATTGTGTCCTGTGTTGTTGTTGGGATCTCAACGTCTGTGCTTGTCTGGGCTACACTTTCCTCTTGATAGTCTTCCTCATCACTGCTATCTGAACTTCCATCATCATGCATGGCCTGAGGAGTCCATTCTTCCTCATCCTCCTCATCATCTTCCCTAACTGCTCTATGTCACTTGAATTGCCATCCATTATCATGTTGATGACATTTTCAATGTACGTTTGTTTTCTCACTTCTTCCTCTATTCTTTTTGACATCTAAAAATACACACATAACAAATTGGTCAATATAGCGTAGCGATTATGATTTCAGAGGAATTGTTATTGTGAAAATACCCAAAATGTATTTTAAAATGGCATTTCAGTCATTAATTAGATTTATTAAATCATTAAAATAGTGTGTGTTTGTATATTGGTAGGCATGATGTAGATTACATTACAAAAATTTAGAATGACCGTTCAAGGATAAAGCACCTTATATACCTGCAGTATCAAATGTGATACACACATTTTTAACACGATTTAACTGTAATATGAAGAATGAATTATTAAGTAATGATGCATTGTTTTAATACAGAATATACTCCTATTAAAGAATGAGTAACAATATAAATGTTATTCTTACTGTAACTTCTTGAAAATTAGCAAAGATTTTCCTGCTGAAAGTGTGTGGATGCTAGCATGATGGTGGCCATTTTTTTAAAAGGTCAAAAAAAGCCCTTCCACTGCCTGCAGTAGAGTGCAAATCCTCTAGGGGGCAGAATACATGTATCAGGTCATATACAACAGGTTTTAAAGGAAAGTTTTGATCATGTTGATAAGACAGAGGTCTCAGAAACTTGCGTAGCAAATATGATACAAATGGTTTTATAGGGTTGTTAAGCACTGCATTAGAGTTTTATAAACACTTTCTACTGTGCTGACTTTTGTAGAATTTTAATATTTGGTCAGTAATATGGGTTTGGCCTTTCTTGTAGGTCATCGGGAGGACCATGCGCCAAATTAAACAGTTGAGAAAGGGATTGAAAGATGTGATGCTATGGCCCCTGCTGACATCAAGGCCAGATGTTGTCCCACTTCTTTTTCTGAAAATGGCAGGAATGCAGTTTGTACCCCAGGTGATTTAGTACATCCAACTTATTAACAATACTTAAAATATTAATAAATGTGTGTGCAAATCTTATTGTCTAATTTACTGAGCTGGATATTTTCTCAATTACCAAGACTGTAATCTATATTCCTTTTCATCAGTGCTGAATTATAAATTATCCTAGACACCAAAATACTTTTCAAACTTTTTTTTTCCAGATGTTCCTAGACAAAATCACATGGCCTGTGGAGGACAGTGATGATGAAGAACTTGACATTGAGTGCAAGTGCCGCATCACTGGTTTTCTACGGATGTTCATTGAAACAGGTATAGCTATCTTATTTTGCAATTTATTTTCATGTTTACCAATGTCTCTATGTCCCATAAACATCTCACTTAACACTGTAGAATATATGAAATGCATAGGGATTTGAACAGTTACAGTGCACTGTGTTCTTAATCCACTTTATGACCTTTTAGCTTCATCAGATACTCTGGCTCAGTTGCTGAAGTTCTGGGTCGGCTGGGAAATGCTCCCTCCAGAACTCAAAGTGGAGTTTTCCGGGGGAACCTTCCCATCATCCTCCACATGCTTTGAAACACTGAAGCTGCCAGCTCATTACAACACCTACAAAGACTTTGAGGAAGCACTTGTTGCTGCCATAGACAGTGCACACACTGGATTTGCTCTTGTTTAAGTATTTTCAGGCAATGATGTTGCTGTGCTTTTATTCAGTAGAAAAAGGTCAATTTGAGTGAAGTGAGTTCAGTGTTTTTCTAACATTTCAAATACAGTGCAGTATTTTCTTTCCCTGAAAATGACACTGCTTTGTTGTTGCTCTTCTGTCAACTGTTTGATACTTCAGTGTGCATCACCTTGCTGTCCTTGCCTGTTGTCATTGGCTACATGAGGTTGTTGAAATATCTCTTGATGCTAGAAAAATTGGTTTTATTTGCATTAAAACAGCATATTATTATTTCA